ATAGAATCGTTTCGCACTCTATTTCTTGCTCCGAGCCAGGGATGTACGTCGTTGCATTGCCATAATTTTCAAACCACCTTATCCTTGTCTTTATTTGATTCCTTTTGCTACTGGACAGTGCTTCAGCCAGGAAGAATGAGCCTGCGACAGAGATAAGAGTACGAGTTAGACGAGAGCACAGAACACACAGGGCTTCGCGAGGGAGGCAGCAGGCCGTGTAGCGCCTAGTCATGGCGGCCCACGGAGACAGAGCGACGAACCAGCCCTCCGGAGTCAGCCTGCGGGGCCCGTCCCGTTACACACCCGTGCGTGCAGGTTGCCTACCCCCGGCTCCGCAGGCGGCCGGACCGACGCGGCAGACCGCGAGTCGTTTTCGTCGCTCCATGTACATGTTCGACCACCAGAGACGGAGTCCTTCAGCCCGCTGGAGCGGCGTCCAGTCTTCCCACACTAACACACGGACGGGCTTCTGCAGCTCCAGGGCGAAGACGTCCGGTCCCTCGGCGTGGCTCGTCCATCTCGGTCGTCCCGCACCGCCATGAACCCGGGCACCCGAGAGCGTCTGCCGGAAGTACAGGTTCAGGGTGGCGGTAAACCGTCCTAGGGCGGCCTTCGGCAGAGGATGTCTTCTCGCAGCAGGACCCGGTCGTTGGCAGGTGGCTGGTGCCCCGAGGTCGTTCCTGGTCGTCGTGGTTGGTGGTCACGGTGCGTGGTGAGCGAGCGAGTGCGTGCGTGCGCGCGGCCAGTCGAAGTGGTCTGCCGTGCTGCGCGAGCCAGTGGTCACGCCGCCAAGTTAAATCAAGGGATAAAGTTGATTTAATCGCTTCAAGAAGCAGAAAATCCCCTTCATGGAGGAGCGTTTCAACATTGTCTTCAAACGACTTGTTCGGTCGCCACAACCTATCCAGTAGCTCCCCTAGATTTTTACCCTGTTGATTTGTACCGATGTACCGATAATTGTACCGATAGGTCTCGGAATGACGTTATTTTTCGAGGCGAGATCGAGTGAAAACCAACACAACCAAGCCGAGAGGACTTTGAGTCTCAATTCGATTCGCACAGTATAAATTCATTATTAAAAAAATAATTCTTGTCCAAAAGCGTTTTGGGTCTTTAACAGCGTAGAAGAACCGAGCAAAAATCTTGTTTAAATGTTTAAGCGTTTGTGCCTATTTTTTTTTCATTAAAGTCTTTCTTTTGATAATATTTCCTCTGTTTTTTCTTTCATATTTTCTTGATAGGTTACACATTCAAGGGAAAAAATACAAAGCCAGTTTTGCATTTCATTGCATTTTTATTCATAAATATCAATTAAAACTGCCATAGCATCACGGAGATATACAACTTCAACTCACTTAGAGAGAATGCGGGCATTCGTTTTTGACTAACCAAACACTCTATATAGCCTGAACAGTCAAATAAGGTCTGCGTCAGCAGGGCTTTCCTTTGACCAAATGACAACTTTTCAATGCAATCCCTGGTCAAATCACGACCACTCAGAGAGGTTTTCACCTCTCCTAACATTTGAGTAAAAAGCAGCAACAGAGACCTGGTCTTCAGTGACCTTATCCAAAGCAGAGCTGATAAGCTCAGTCAATCCTATGAAATTATCCCATACACTCTGCGTAAAGTTGACCGGAAGACCCCCTGACAATCCTGTCATTTTTACCAGTTTAAGTCCATCTGCCAGAAAATTCCTTTCAAAGCGAAGATTTAGAGGCAGAATTTTTAGAAGGCTTGGAAGGCGCAGACTTAGACGGATTAGATTGAGATTTAGAAGGCTTAGACGCCTTAGAAGCAGACTTGGAAACTGCCCGTGGCGTTGGCGCAGAAGGCGACGGTGAGGCGCTCCTTGGTCTTCTTTCCGCCTTGGCCCTCTTCCCGGAGGGCAGTAGGTGCTAGTGGTCCCGTTAGTGCACGATATCATAGCAAACCTTGCATTTTTTCCTGACGGGTTGAGCTTTTGTATTTTGGTAGTACATGTCCTAAGGTAACTTTTAAGAAGTGTTGCCACGGTGGCAACACTGGCAAAGAGCGTGGGAGGGGTGGTTGCCACACAGGGAGGGGCACACACACACGCCATCCTTCTCTTCCGCTCTTCCCATCTCTTCTTTCATCAAATCTCTTCATTCATTCAGTCATTCTTCACCATTCATTCATCCACCTCCATCTCCTCGGCTTCGTCCTCCCACTCCATCTCTTCGTCTGGCGGCGGTGGTGGGCTGCGCTCAACAACTGCAACAAAAAATACACTTCATTACCCAAATGTCATGAAGGGAAGGGTGCTGTTAAAATATTACCCTCCTTAAAATAGGTCCGGAGAAAACTTCTTAGAAATATTAAGTCCTACTTAGTGAAAATGAAATCATGATAAGTGAAGGCACAGGTCAACCTAGTGAGCCACAAATACCTCATTATGTCTATATCTTGTAAAACCTATCTTGCGCATACTGTTAGTGGAAGGTTGTTAGTGGCAGTCATGGCCTCCTCCAGGTCCCGCGCGGCATTCACCAGAGACTCGTCCAGCTCCGCGTCCACTTGCGACATGACCTCCCCGTGGCGCCATGAGACAAGGGGTAGTGGACTCGCAACGGACCTGGCCGGAATCTCTGCCTTGCAAATTTTAGTTCACTATTTCTCCGACTAAATATGCGATTTTTGAGATGCCTTGGGCATTTTCGGAAAGAAGACACCTTAAATTATGCCCTAAATTCAAAAAAGTTTCAATTTTCCCACCAGGTCCTGAACAGGAACAGCTTCGCCGTCGCGCTACTCAGATGCGCAGGGCGACGGCCATGGTGCCAGGGGCGACGCAGGGGGGAGGCATCTTCAACTTGCGATTGAAGCTTCCCGATGCCGCAAAAGTGATGGGACAAGTGGTGCACCTTGATATATGTCGAAGACAAACAATGTCCCGTCACTTTTGCGGCGTCCGGAGGCTTAATCGCAAGTTGAAGATGCCTCCCCCCTGCGTCGCCCCTGGCACCATGGCCGTCGCCCTGCGCATCTGAGTAGCGCGACGGCGAAGCTGTTCCTGTTCAGGCCCTGGTGGGAAAATTGAAACCTTTTTTGAATTTTGGGCATACTTCAAGGTGTCTTCTTTCCGAAAATGCCCGAGGCATCTCAAAAATCGCATATTTAGTCGGAGAAATAGTGAACTACAATTCGCAAGGCAGAGATTCCGGCCAGGTCCGTTCCGAGTCCATTACCCCTTGTCTGCAGCGGCGTACCATGTTGCTTGCCGCGCGCCTCTCCCCGTCGCACCTTCTAGCGGTTGCCGTACCCCTTTCCTCTTCTGTCCACTTCTGTCTTAGGTTCGCCCGAAGGCACTGCACTGCACACACACACTACACTACACACGGTTTACAGTTGTGCGATGGCCTGACGGTATTTCTGGAAGGCAGATGCCAGGTCTTCCTTTGTCACTTCCAGGTATTTCTTTGATGCTGTTCCCTTGGAGTGAGCAAGCAGCCTGGAGTGCATTTTGGCATCTACCCCAACAAGTCTGCCGTTGAAGGCCAATGTGACACTTATGTGTCGCAAGTCACTGGCCTTCAACATTTGGCCGTACACGGTACAATATTCCTTGAAAATGAAGTCTGACTTTTTAACCTGTGCCCCGGCTGCAGTCAGAAATACCGACGCGGTGTCTGGAGAGATTGCCTGGCTGATTTTGATGCAGCCTGAGAGAAGGGCTACTTCTTCCGGCTGCAGGCACAAGAACACCTGATGGTGGCTGGCGGTCTTGTGCGCCGAAAGCGGAAAGACGGTGACGTCTCCTTCCTGGGTCTTCTTCCTGACGTCCGCGATGGTCAGTCCGCCAACGTTGCCCGCTCGGTTGCAGCTTCTAACATGGCCACGGCAACGCCTCATGAGCTGCAAAAACGTCCTAAAAATAAAGTGATTGGTAGGTGCCGTTCTTGAAGCAGTGTGTACAAGCACGCGGGGATGGTGGTCTTGCAAAGCCTCTTCGGCATGCTTCAGGGATGATGAAACAATGTCTATCTTTCCTGTTCTCCCTCAATTCCACAAATAGGAGGCCAACTTCTAAAATGGATTCGGGGCCTACAGTGCTTGTTTTGGTGTCCACAACATAAACGGAGACATACTTCTCAAGCCAATGTATTTCTAGCATCTGACACACTTTTGGAGTCTCTTTGGTGACGATGGCTTTTGCGTAAAATAATCCATCTGTGAACAGCTAAAATAAAAGAATATTACCATAACTCTATAACTTGCCTATACTATACTCTATATATTACTATAACTCCGCTTTGCCTCCTCATATTGACTTTTTGCCTCTTCCTCCTCAGCCCGCTGCCTCTCGGCGAACTCCTCGTAGTTCCTCTGTACTTGGAGGTTCAACTCAGAGTGGTCTGCAAACACGCTGTCTCTCTCGCACTCATAGTGCATCGCGCTTGAGTGCGAGTGGGACAGAGCTACGCAATAATCCATCGGAATCAGCCTGCCGGTGCCCCGCTGGCCTCGAGCGACCGCTTTACTACTTACCGACTAACGCTTCCATCGCTGCTTTGCACTTCACAAGAGGTCCGTACACTTCACTCGTCGCAGGGACAACTCATACTGACTGGCCTGGCCTGCCGCGGCTGCAGCGCGTTGTGCGGGGTTGCCGGGCCGCTTATTTACATACCGTGGGCGATTCAGCGCGGTATGAGAATTATGGCGATCGGAGCATTCCCGCTCCAGGGGACTTGGACACGGAAGGTAGGACAGGTGATAGCCACTTCTTCCGTGCAGTAGACACTAGCGTGTGTCAAGAATGCTGCTGAGTCCTCAAAACGCAAATGAAATACATTTCTAGAAATAACTTAAAAAGACTCTAAAATGATCTTGATCATACAAACACAATTTTCTGTTCAAATGATATTGCTGTGAAGATACTTGATGTAGCCATCAGTTTAGCATAATGTAGGATGCAATAATAAAAAACCTTTTTTAAAAAGAAAGATATTTTAGATCAATGAAAAATCAACACATCTTTACATGTTCATTTTAAGGGGTGTTAAGCCTGTTGGTGCCGGTGGAGAAGAGGTGAGGAGGGGACGAGAGGGGGGAGGACTGCAGAATCCTTCGGGTCCTTTTCGGATTTTTTGACGCGGCGGCGAAACGTCCGATCGGCCTAGCTCCGCACTGCCCCGCCTCCCTCCCCCGTGTCCTACGGCTACGATCGTCGCTTTGTCTCTCTCGCACTCGTAGGGCACCTTTTGCTCCAGCTCGGTGAGAGGTATGGTGGTGATCTCCTTATTCCCTGTTGCTGCCCGATCCTTCCGGTTCCCAGCAGCTTTTGCCGTAGCCTTCGACTTGATATCTCGCCAGCTCTGTGCAGTTACAAACACTTATGAATTCTTACTACAAACCGACTAAGGGTCATATATTGTAAGGTACACTAATATAAAAACACTTACCACTTGCCACTGCTCTACCTCTTTCCTCCCGCCCAACTTATTGAGGATCTCAGCAAGCTCCTCCCACATCTCCTCCCTTGTCCGGGTCCCATCATAGCCCATTTGGGCTCCCCGGGCAAACTTTGGGTGCTCACACATGTATCGCACAATTTCCTTGGTTTGAGCAGCATTGATTCTGCTGCAGCGAGTCCTGTTGATTTGCAGAGATATTCATTAGATTCTAAGAAACAATGACGCACTTTCCCTTTTTCTCATATTTTTAATAGATTCCTACTTTACAGCATCATTTTTTAATGGAGAGATAGTTAATATCATAATCCAAACTGATACAATTGGTGCACTTTGCACTCTGTTCAAAAACAATATTTCTACTCACTAAGCGGACAATTTTTGTACCTGCTTAGCTGGAGATCACACAACTCATATCGTCAATGACGCACCTCGTCCCTTCTGAACACCTTGCTGAGTTCAAAGATCTGCTGGCTTGCAGATTCCCGGTCCGTCAAGGCGACCCCGGCATTGCGGCAGAAGATGGAGAGGGCCTCCCTGATGGCCGCCCGCCGATCCGCCGCAAAGTTGTCGATCTTATCCACGAACAGATCCACCACCGAATCCGTGTGGAACGGCCCCCGAGCACCACGGGACTGGACGGCCCCGTGGTCGAGGGGGTATTTACTCGCGTAATAGACTGTACATGTCTGGCGTAATAACGCGTAATAACGCGTAACTACGCGTAATAACGCGTAACTACGCGTAATAGCTCGTAATGGCCGTAATAACGCGTTATAACGCGTAATAAGGGCGTAATAACGCGAAATGTCATTCACTTCAGCACGCTTGTTAAGTCCCTGATACAAGGAGTAGTGACGGCTAGGACGCGGCGATACTCCTCACTACCCCTCTTCCTCGCTCTTCCTGTTCTTGCCCCCTCTACCTGACTGAACCATTTTCCCGCCACTTCAACATTGGCACGGGATGTGCAGGGGTCGGAAACGGCCTAGGGAGCTCGTGAGCGTGAGCCCGCGCCCCACCGCTGCCGATGGGCCGCGCGCGGCGGACCGCTCTGCACGGCGGTACTAAAATCAACAGAACTTTGTCAATTGTCATCAAATCGATCAAACGAGGTCAGTTTTGGATTCTACACAAAATTTCCTTTCGATTAATAGCAATGGTTTAGCGTTTCAAGTGTTTAAAACACGTTATTTTTCAATTATAAGTCAATTTTACCAGCAACGGACAGGCGACTTGATATTTCTCATTCGCTTAAAAAGCGATTTCTGCTTTTTTTAGGTCCATACATGCAGCAAACCGATTGTTGGCCATAGTTTGGAATGTTCAAACAGCCGCTGGGGCGACCACAGAGATCTAAAACGTAACTAGGACATTTGGTACAAAATTGGGTTTTGCAACTTTGGAGGTTAAAAGCACGGCTTGTAAAAGCGCGTTTGTCACGTTCTATACGCCTAAGCCACCCAGAATTTTGTTCTCTCTCCCCCTGGCCCTGTGGTAAGGGTTTAGCGAAAGGAGATCAAACTTCAGATATCTCGCAAAAGTTCCGAAACACTACGATAACGCCGTAACAAGCAAACGTACAACAGAACGTACAAGCAAACGATTGAAAATCTGACACCACCACGTTGTAGCGCGGACAATTTTGCAAGACATAGTCTGAGTTCATCTCAATCGATATTCGCTAATACTAGACGCGTAATAACGCGAAATACTTCCGTATTAACGCGTAATACTTGTGTAATAACGCGTCATAGTTGCGTATTAACGCGTAGTACTAATAGACGTAATAACTCGTAATAGACGTAATAACGCGTAGTAACGCGTAATACAGGCGTAATAACGCGTAACAGGCGTAATAATGCGTAATAGGCGTAATAATGCGTAATAGGCGTAATAATGCGTAATAATCGTAATTGTAATAGACTGTACACCAAAATCCTGAGTAGATACCCCCTCGCCCGTGGTAGGCCATGGCTCGGTCCGGATCCACGTTTTGGTGACGGTGGAGACCAGTGGCGTAGTGGTCAGCCACCTTGCAGGTGAGAACTTTGCCACAGATGAGGCACATGTGGAGAAGCCTGTTGCTGCTACCCTCCACACGGTTCATCACATGGAACTGCAATCAAAAAATAGAAAGGACCGTTGTCATATATGTGACATACATAAATACATATTGCAAAGCACAGAGCCATCGTTCCACACTCACCCCATACACAGTAACGTTGGTTCTTGTGAATCTACAAGCAAGTGTTTGGACTTCTCCCCACTAGCAAGTGTTTGTGGATCTACAAGCAAAAATCTGCTATTTATAAATTATTTCCTGCGCAAACCGCCAAGTGCCCACACACTTAAGCTCCTCCTTCGTGTCAAACAGCATATTCGCCACGATCATGGCGTCAATGCCGTCACTGAGGGTGAGGCCATGACCAGGGCTGGTTCTGCAGAGCACTTGCCCGTAGGTCCACACCTCCATCTGGCACTCCCCAACAAAGATAGAGGTGTCATGAGGGACCAGGCGGAGCATTGTTCCCTCAGTTGTTGGTTCCTGCGAAAAGAAACAAAAAATGTCAACACTTGTTTAGTGTCATGGTACCAGCAGCAGAAAGAGTCAAAATGGAGAGAGGGCAGACATACCTCGTTGATGACACACCACTGCAGTAAATTTTCCTTGCAAGCTGATGGGAGGCTCACCAAGGCGCAGTGTCGTTCTGCATCTGAAATAAGATTTGCATTACATACCGCAGACAGGGAAAATAATAATAAAAGTACGGCAAAGTATTACACATCACCTTGACTTACCTTTCAAGTTGTCCGCTGGAACGATTGTCAGGTGCCGCAGCAACTTCAAACCAGGCTTTGACGTTGCTTTCCTGATTACCTCCATGCCATTCGCCACACTCCGGTCGGTCATGAACTGCACCCGAAGGGCAGGCATGTCCTTATCATATTGGATCATACCCTCACGAACCATCCGAGAGAAAAATGACACAATGAGGGGACCTAACAACACCATGTGCCTTAATATGTCATACATATGGTCAAGAACTCACATGCCGGAAGTCAGCCAACAGAGGCCATGACTGTAAGAAGTCAGTGGGACGGGAGGCGTGTGCTAGCCTTCTCCTTGCCATCCGGGTGGCGGTCATCATGTCCCGAAGGGTCATGTGGCACCGTGGCCCACGAGCCTTTGATGTAATTCATGTTGTTCTCGAGAAGGACATCTGTCAGGCCAGGATCGACCACCTGCAAAAACACAATGCAATGTGACCAGTTTTGCAAACCAAAAAAAAAAAAAGAATAATGTTTTATTTACATTACAGAATATTATTCTGCCACTGTGCCACCGCAGCCCAAGGTAACAGACAGGCCACAGTGACGAAAGTTGATCATGTCACTCCACTCATAGGGAACATTAGTTTCCTCGCCAATGTTGGAATTTTCTTCTTTGCCCGGAACTTTGCTTATTCCTAAAACACACAAAGTAAAATGTAGATGTTAGTATACATAGAAGCATACAGTGCAGTGTTCCTTTAATGGGGTTACAACTATTGAAATTATCTTAGAGCCTTTTGTTGTTCAGTATTTTCTTTATATTTTATTCCCTTGTGTATTTGAGGTACTGACAGGAAAATGGAATAGAATAATTGTACTTTTCAGGCAGGGGAACATTTTAAGGGGGGACATCACTCCAAAAACAGTGCTTTTGTAAAAACGTCATAAAAACCAAACGGAAAGAGAAAAATTGTTCATATTTTAAAAGATAAGGTATAAAACAACAAAAAAAGTCAATCCGCCAGGCAGTACAGCGCTTTCGTTTTTAAAACACATTTTTAGTGTTAGGTTAGACCATTTCGCACTGTTGCAGGCGCTGGCCCAAAAAAGTTTTACCTAGAACATTGAAATTTGGTGACGCCTTCCTGAGATGTCTGGCTATGGTGGGTACCTCAATCACATTTCAAAATCCTTTTAAAAAGTGTTTGTTACATTACAAAAAATAATGTTCGTTTTTTTTTTTGGGCAAATTGTTCAATTTTAAACGTTAAAAAAAAAATAAAAATGGACCAATGCAAATTATTTTGCTACCCACCATAGCGGCATGTCGTGGGAGCTTCCTGCTAAATCTCCCCCGTAGCTAAAAAACTGCGCCCTAGAGGCCTGCAACCGTTTGCAATTTCATGTTCCGAGAAAAACGCGATCAAAGTTGGGGAAACTGGCTTTTCCCCTATGCATGTTTGCGGCGCACAACCTACTAAAAAATGCAATTTTTTGAATTCCGGAATGCCCGGGTTTTACCATTCGACGCAGAAAGGAATAGTCTACAATATAAACTAATAAAAAAAAGTTGCAATTTTTGATCATTTTGGAGTGATGTCCCCCCTTAATTGCTCTAAGCTCAGAAGCCAGGCACTCTACAGGGTGAGTTTTTTCGATGTGTCAATAATTTGTAGGAAGTTTAGGCACCCCTAGCGGATCATTTTTCGCTAGTGAACTAGTGGGCGCAAACGTCTAGTTGCTGAGATAATTAGTGCTTTGTAATTTACCTTCGCGCCCACGAGGTACCGTAGGCTCTCGCCGCCACTGAGGGTGGTGGGACCTCACGAGTGGGTGTCATGGGACTCGCAGTACTCGAGGGAGTGCCACTGACTTCACGGAGAATTCGTGGAGTCCTGCCACCCTCGCTAAGACAGCCGCGAGATCCACTGTTACGCAGGCCACCACGACAGTCACCTGAGACCCTCGGCAACCCTTCTGAAAAGTCAATTGAAAGGTCCGCCGCACCCCTGCGACCTTCGTTGCATCCCCGCTAGACCCACGACATCCTCTCGTGAGGTCTTGTGATCCTCAGTGGCCGCAGGTGTTTATCTGGCAGGTGCGAATGCCCATTTCTAAATATCATTTATCTCCGTACCTAGACGTTTGCGCCCACTAGTTCATTGGTGAAAAGAGATCCTCTTGAGGTGCGCAAGCTACCTACAAATTATTGACACATTGTAAAAACTCACCCTGTATTTTGGTCTGTGCAGTGACTATTTCCCAAACTTGTCTGCAGCTTCTTTGAGTACACAACCATGGATTCATCTCAAATTTTGCTGGAGTTTTCTGAGATGGTTTGTCAGATAGCACTCCCCTTCACGTTTTGGTGGAAGAAATGGACAAAAATGTAACAACAAGTGAACTCTGGTGTGCAATTAAAACTACATGATTTAATATCTTGTCAAAACAACTTCACCTCTACCACTATTTAAAAATATTACACTGTACATTATTCCAATTTCTTGGCACTACAAAAACCCAGCATAAAAAGATTTACAAATGTATAAGAAGCATCACTTTAACAAGCAAACAAAATAATTAAAACACATTACTCTAGGCAAACTGAGAGGAGTTAGGAAGACTGTCGTTATTCTTAAAAATCATCTTCTTGAAGGAGACGCCTTCTAGGGCAGGAGGTTGTCCTTCGTCTCTTAAGTACCTCACAACCCATGTCTGGGGACATCCTTCTTGGTCTCTGAACAAACAATTGAGGCGCGGAGGACGGCCCCCAGTGCCCTGCAGTGGTCGGACAACTTCAATCCATACATACGTTCCTTGTATTCAGTTTGCCCGTTGACATGTCATACAGAGATTTCTCTCAATTTCAAGGGAAAATCCCCATGCCCATTGGCTTCTTCTTTATGGACGTAGGCGAAACCGTTGTCCGTAGGACCAACCTCCACTAGGCGGTGCTCCACCTCAAATGGTGTTGGGACCCTCGTCATAGCTACGGGCGCCGCAGGCTCTTCTTCCTTGTGGAAAGTTTCCCCCCTCTTCAAGATGCGCGATACGCCAACAGGGGCACCCCCCTCTTCTCCATAAGCATGCTTGTTGCCTGCAAAGAGGTGAGGAGAACAATGAGGTGAGCTCAAACAGCAACCGATAAAAATGTCTTTCTTTCTTTCTTTCTTTCTTTCTTTCTTTCTTTCTTTCTTTCTTTCTTTCTTTCTTTCAAAAACTATAATTTTTGGCAGCTATCTTGATAAATATTTGAACCAAACAAATACAAACTTAAATAGCACAGAATGTAAACATTCTGCCATTCAATATGAGACTACCAGTTTCTAGGTGAATTGTACACAGTACCTGATTACTGTACCCGTAAAAATCACAGTCGGGTCTACATTTAAACAGGATTCAATATTTTTAAGCAATAAGAAACTAAGGCTTACATGTACTGGCGGCTTTGGACACAGTTTGACATAATCTTCCTCGCTCAGACTTATGCCTCCCTCTGATCTCTTGTTTGAAGAGAGGGGGCCATTGGTGTTGTCAGAGTAGACAACAGTGGACTTACAGCTCCGTCTAACAGTGTACCTTTGGACGGGACAATGTTCCCCTCAACAACAGCAACATCCATCTCCATCATTTGCCCAACTTGAAGACTTTCAAGCAAACTGGCCTCAATCTGTGGACAATGAATTATAATTTTAACGCTCACGCTCACCCAACTCGCTAATGCGGTCCATGACCAGGTCCACCATGGACTCCATGTGGAAGGGACCCGAGCTCCACGGGATTGGTGGATCTGTCCGGATCCACGTTTTCCTCCCGGTGCACACCAGTGGCAAAGTGGTGAGCCACCTTGGAGCTCAGCATACGACCGCATATGAGGCACATATGCAAGGGTCTGTTGATGCTACCCTCCACACGGTTCATCACATGAAACTGCAAGCAAGGAATAGAATCTTGATCTAGACTTGGAACTGCTAGGAATCCCACTTAAAAGAGTTAACTGCACAACATTCCTTGGCTTAATACTAGAACACAATCTGGGCTGGAAAGAACAGGTTGAAAAACTACTTAGTAATCTAAATAGGGGAATTTTTATGCTAAGGCAAGCCTTCTACTGCTTATACAGTAACGACTTGGTAAAAATCTACTATGCTAATTTTCATTCGTTCCTGGCATACGGAACTATCCTCTGGGGTAATGAGAGAGTAAATAAAGAACTCTGTATGAAAGTGTTTAAAAAGCAAAAAAGAGCATTGAGGGTTGTCCAGAGCCTTGGATGGAGGCAGTCATGTAGAGGCCTTTTTAAGAAATTGTCCATTCTTACATTCACTTCTCTTTATTTGCTTCAAATCGGTATATTCGCAAAAAAATATCTGTCGAGAGACACGAATAACAGCCTCACCCCTCGCTTGAGCCCTCCTACTTCCTAATTTTCCATTTTAAAGATTTTAGTATTTTAAGGATTGACGTGGTGCTGAACATTGTATATGTTTTTTTTTTTTTTTTTTTTACCAAATAAATGAACTTGAACTTGAAAAGAATAGAAAAGACTAAACAAAAATCAGCTTAAAAAGTCTATTCGCTTTGAACAATACATGATCTAGTCCTCTCCACTTTTCTTGTCCTCAGCGATCTTCACGGCTTTTTGTACTCTGGCCTGAATTGCCGCACACTCCGGTTTTCTTCCAAAATTGTTCAGCCGGTTCCCGATTCCGGACCTTATCCTTAACTTAGAATCCTTAACTTAGAATTCCTAAATTAATATAAAATATCACAACCAGTTTCTGTGATGTTTCAAAATAATCATACCTCACAAACAAACAACAAATACAAATAGGACTGGTTACTAATTGAAAAACAGGAACAACATTTAATAGTAGTAAAAATCACAACCCCTGTCATCAGTCTGAAAATGTGTACACTTCATATTCAAATACCGAACAAAAAATGCTACTAGTTACCAAGTAAAAAAGAGAGCAACACATAATACTATAAACAATCACAACCACTGTCATCAGTCACAAAATATACAATTAAAAATCATAACCACTTCACATTTTAGTCGAGTAGTCAAAGCTACGGTAGGTTCAGCAAACGATGCAACGCCTTTTTTGGGCTGGTCTTTTTTAGGGTGTAAATCTTCACTACTCGTACAATAGGAGGCTGCTTTGACTTTGGCCCTGCTGACAAAGATGGCAAACCAAAGGTAGGAGACCT